ACAAGGTATGTAGCTGCGCGATGTATGGAAGCCCAAGACCGCGCCCGATAAGAAATGGAACACTACAAGTCGAAAATGTATTTTTGTGACAAAATTGTGACAAGGTAGGCGGCCAAAATCCGAAGAAGAAGTAAGATCGTTGGTTTGATGGGCTTTTTTTGGAGATATGCCCGGGAAATGGTTCTCCCTGCTTGGTATATCACCACTAATGCACTGAGGCGGGAGGCAGGACGTACTCTGACCAGTACCTGGAGGTTCAGGAGAATGTTGGCAAGGGTAGACATAATTCCTTTTTATTTATGATTTATGGATTATCAAAATATGATGAGAATTCGAAAGAAGTGAGAGAAAATAAGAGCCTCGTAGCAAGTCTGGTCTGCACTGCGTCAGGAGCCGTGGTCGTATAGTTGCATCATCAGATAATCGAATCAGCGGCTATGCTGCCACCACGAAGGCACAGTATGTTGGGGCCTTGGAAAGTTGGGAATGCCAAATAAACGAAGTAAAACTTGGCTTCTGATATGAAATATGGGTGCTATAGACCTATGGTCCCTCGTAAGCTGAGCCAAACCTTGAGATTTTTATTCATCAGATGTAGTAATCCATAATCTTGTTCCTTGAGCAATCTTTCGCCATCAGGCCAGATTCGTTATCTCCATGATCGGGCTTCTGGACCATATATAACCTACGCTCAACTTCTAGTATCTACTGTGCGCAGAAAAACTTGAGCTACCAGAAAAAAGTGAAGACCTCACCCCATTCCTATTAACATTCTCCAATAACCTGGGCCACAACAACAATGTTTAGGCTCATCGCCAGTAATACCCAAACAGGCTTGAGGCCTGTCCTTCTTCGTAAGGTCAGGGGCAACTCCTCGGGCCTTAAGTTGGCGCCTAATATGAGCCTCGAGCCCAGCTTCGAATGCCAGAATCATTACGCCGTCCAGATAGCACGCAGCAACAGCACAAAAGCTGCCGCAAGTACGGTTTCAAACAATCTTAATTTGAATCAGACGATACAAGACAGTGCCCAGTTCACTTCAGCTAGCCGGAAGGACTCAGAGAAGGTTGATGAATTCAAGGACCTACTTCTGAAGGTCGGCAAGAAGCGTCCTATCAACGGCAGAGGCAGAGCAGACATCTTACGTGACTTGCAGCAGCTTTTCTCCGATGACGAGGTCAAAGCTGGTCTCACTTCCGATCAGCTTCAACGCTACGCAGAGTTTCTTGATAACTTCATGTACCAAAACAGAAGACACCGTCTCTCGTCCAGCCTGAACCGTGATAGCGATCATTATCAGAACCACACCTTAAACAATGATATCGTTTTGAAATCGGCCATCTTGGATATCGCAGATGGCGTCATTCGTGGCGTGCTCCAGGAGAACATGAGCTCCCGCGGTCTCTACCACCTTTTCCAAGCCATGCTTCAGAGTGAGGTCTCGACTGAGCTTATTGAGCTTTGGGAAGCCGGTGTCAACAGCAAGGAAAGAGTTAACCAGCTTTTCTTGAAGCACGACATTTTGAGTATCGTTCTACCTGTTGCTTACAAGACAAAGAGATTCACATACCAGGACGTTCTCAGAATTTATGAATTCAATACAAAGGGAAAGCACATTCTGTGTTCGCTCATGACTGCAATGGGTAAAATTGCCATCCAGGCTGGTGACAATTCTCGCGGTTTGGACAACTTGGAGAGCCTCATGAAGGTCTTTGAGGATGCTCCAAACAAGCTGAATGTCGTCCTTCACAGCTTGGGTGACTTGCATTTGCTGTTTATTGGCGATTGCCAAGATATCAAGATTGCTAAGCACTTTTTCGACAAGGTCGTCAACTCCGAGTTGCCTTACAAGGTGGTGCTTAGAGCTCCTTATGTTGCGAACTTGCTTCAAAACTCATATGATACCAAGGTGCCTTTCACAACGATTGCTAACATCTGGAAGCTGGCTATCGATTACTACACCAAACGTGGTTTTGATGCAGCATTAAATTCCAAGTATGCCATTGTGAACAATACCTTCTTCAAGATTTTCTTCAAAGTTTACCCAGAGTTGAACGAGGAGGCCTACACCACTCTCAAACAGCTCATAGCTACCTACAGCAAGCCCGTGGATGAAATTCTCATCAATTCCATCATTGGTAACTATCACTGGAACGACAAGGTCGTTTTCAAGCAATTGGTGGACAATTTTGAGATCCATAATGTGCAGCGTACTCCAGTGTCGTACCGTGTTTGCTTAAAGAAGATGGGGGAGATCGAAGATTTCACCAATGAGGAGATTTTGGCTCAGTGGTACGAGTCATTGGCATTCTTGGACAAGCAAGGCTTTAATTATATTCCAATCGCTGACTGGGCCGCATTGCGTGATTCGACTATCATGAGTCCTTATAGCGAGAAGAGGGCTTCCTTTTACGTGGCGGTGTTGGATGCATTCAAGAACTACCACCAAGACGACAAGGCCTGTCTTCGTTTCGTGAGGTGGTTCACTGTCCGTGACCAGGCCGTTGACAAGATTGCACCCTTGTCTCTTGAGGACTCTTTCAAAAACGAGTGTGACATTGATGTGGTTATTCCATCCTACCGGTCACTCAAAGAAAATGTTAATTACAAGGCAGTCACTAAGCTGCTTTTCAAGACCCACTTGAAGCACCTGTCAATAAAAAAGGCTCCAAAGCTGGCCTAAAAATAATGGTAAATAGAAAATTCGTACATAGTTAATATTCCAAGATTCAATATTCTGTACCGGCTACATAAACTGACTCTACCCGCGCCAAGATCATCTACGTATGCCACAAACCACCAAATGGGTTCGTGCTTCTCTAAACATTCAGAGGATGATATCAAAAATTCCAACAGACCTGCTCATTCTATGAAGCAGCGTGGTCCCAACAAAGCATCTTCCAATGCCAAACAGAACAACCAGTCTAAGGCCGGCCAAAGACTAGGAGGTCCGTTGAACCCAGAACAAGAGGCAGTATCAGAACTGGGTCAAAGTGGGAGAGAAGCTGCTGCTAGAGCCGCGGAGCAAAGGTATTCCGAAAAGCAGAACAATCTAGCTTCTAGTAAGACGAAGTTGAAAGCCATGGAGAAGATCTCCAAGAAAGACAAGGGATTGGCGTAAAGCGACCAGACCTGCTGAACGGTGACCCGCTTTGTCTCCCTTGCAGCTTAATAACATGCCATCTGAAACAATTGCAGAAAAGCGGGCCTTTATCCTTCTTCATTATGTCTTTTCGAATAGGTTGCAAGCCTGCTTTCGTGACCTAACGTCCATGCGAACAAGTGAAGGCTACATTATAAACACTGGTATCTTAGATTCACGGAATAAAAAGTTAAAGTAGAATTACAACATTAGAATCGTCCAGGTTGATATCTAACCAGCTCAAGCCATTACATAGAGAATGGTCTGTACTGCATGTTGACCTACGTTCAACGCTTGAACTAAACACTCAATTCAACCATCACCTCCCCAACCATGGACTCAGCAGCCACAATCCCGATTTCACATACTTTGTGGTCCCCACATGATACGGTAAAAGATGCGGCTGACCTTTTAGGTATCACCCTTCCAGATGATGCTGCGAAGAACTTAGCTATGGATGTCGAGTACCGAATTCACGAAATTCTAGAGACTGCCATCAAGTTCATGCGCCATTCAAAAAGAAAGTTACTTGCCACTTCGGATATCAACAATGCACTCAAGGTGCTCAATATTGAACCACTTTTCGGTTATGACCAGTCTCAGCCTCTAGTGTTCAAAGAAGCTCTTTCTGGAGCAGGCGGTCAAACGTTGTACTACATCGACGACAATGAGATTGAGTTCGAAAAATTGATCAATCAGGAACTTCCAAAAGTTCCACGCCAGACTACCTTCACTGCTCACTGGTTGGCTATTGAGGGTGTACAGCCAATGATCCCACAGAATCCATTGGCCTCTGAAATCAAGAGTTTACCCTCCGTCGTCAGAGGTGCCACATCCTCCGTATTTGGTAATGATTTCCTACTATCATCTGCGCCCAGTTCAAGCACTGCAGAAGACTCCAAAGATCCTAGTGCCAGACAGAAGACCAAGAAGGGGGATAAGGACGTGGAGGTCAAGCCTTTGGTTAAACATGTGCTTCTGAAGGAGCTCAAGCTCTACTTTGACAAGATTGTCGAGGTGCTCATATCAACGGATCCTGAGAAGGAGACATTTAAGGATGCGGCATTGAACTCTTTGAGGACAGATCCCGGTTTACATCAACTTGTGCCATACTTCATCCAGTTCGTGGCCGAGCAGGTCACCAACCAGTTGAGAAATATTGAGCTTTTAATTACTTTGCTTGAAGTTATTTCCGCCCTTTGTGACAATAAGACCATCTTCTTGGATCCTTACGTTCATGCTCTCATGCCATGCATCCTCACACTCTTGCTAGCCAAGAGAATTGGTCCACCCATTCCTGAGAATGCAGATGATGATGCCGTTTTGAATACGATCAAGGGTCAATTTGCCGTCAGAGAATTTGCATCTTTACTTCTACAGCACGTCATCGACTCATTCGGCTCTTCCTACTCCACACTCAAACCAAGAGTGACAAGAACGCTCCTCAGAGCATTGCTTGACTCCTCTAAACCTTTAGGTACTCACTATGGTGCACTTCTTGGGATCGAGAAGTTGGGTCACGAAGTAATCAAGCTTGTTTTGGTGGGAAATGTCAAGATGTGGTACAAACAAGTCGTTGAAGACAGCTCTAGGCGTGACGTGGAGACAAACATTCTTAAACAGAAGGTACTTGATGTCCTTGAAAAACTCAAGATTGAGGACCATATCGATAATGGTGATGACAAGATGGATGTCGATTCCCTGGATGTTAGCGAGGAGATCAAAGAGAAGTTGAAGGAAAGAATTGGCGAACCGTTGGCTGAAGAGCTTTTGGCTAAGCCTGATGCTAAAAGCATTTGCCGTGGTATTTTTATTGGTGAGGCTAATGTATAAATAGAAAATTGAGGTTATGCAATGGTTATCTTCTTTTGGGTCTGACGTAGGTTTTGACTGTACGGTTTGAAGTGCTTGCTAGCAATTTTTCAAAATCCGAGTCTGAATCAGATCCTTGATTTGAGTCAGAATCGACGTCGGTGTCTCCACTTTTCGAAGGCTCGATAGAAGGCGCGTTCATTGAATTGCCTTTTGGCAACGATTCATCAGCTCTCTTAGCTGGTTTCGTGATGGGCATGAATATTTCAGGAGTGTTATCTGATTTAGAGGGCAACAGCACAGTTCTGAGTGCTCTTTTGTATTCTTGGGGTGGACGTCCTGGAGAACCTTGTAGTGTGGCTTGTGTAAAAGGGTTCTTGAAATCCGTCATCTTAGCTTTCCTCGCTGGCAATGTGGTTTCTGGTTGAATAGGTGATGACTCTATCACAGACGAAGTGCTGTAATTGGTTCGAGCGGTGGCATGTTGCAGGAATAGAACAGGGGATTTTTCAGATGACGTATGAATGGGAGAACTAACGATTTTCACATCCGGTAATGATGGCGCTGCTAGTAGTGAGAGTTTCTGCTGCACCAACGACGTTCTCTTTGTGGAATCTGGAATAACAAACTCCTTCCTTCTTCCTTCCGAATTTTGAGGAGTTTCGAGAATGATATTGGAGATTCTCTTCGTGGAGGGTGTAGCCTGAATTAATTTTATCGGCTCATCGGGTATTTCGTTCGACTCATTCTTTGATAGCATGCCCATTGACACGGAGTGATTCTTGACCTTACGGGCATCTCCAAATATGAAGGAGGAAGCTTTTTCAGCCACGTCTTGATCGTCAGGTTTGTTAAGAGACATGTCAACCTGTCTGCGCTTCAAATTCTTAGAGCCCAAATTAGATTTTGACCGCTTGAGCGAGAATGCGGGCTCATCCTTCTCACTCGCTGAAGTCTTGGACCTTCGAAGGAACGGCTTTTGCTTCTCTGTCAATAGCTTCTTGTTGAATCTTGAGGTCTTTTTAGTCTCTTTGGGTGCTACCTCGTCGGTGTTCGGCGGACTACCGGCCTCTGATCCACTGACTGATTTTGAGGTAGATGTCTTGAGCTTGGACAGCTTGAATGTGGGCCTCAGCTCTCTTACCTTCTCTATGACAAACTTGACGATTTTAGGGAGCTTGGTATTGAAAAAGGGCACGAAGACATAAGCTAAAAAGCCATACATGCTCTCGTCCTTTTTATTCTTCACTTTTCCCGTGAGAACATCCCAAATACTCATCTGGTCAACAAGCGCAACAAGAGACGCGTAGAGTCCGAAGTAAGTGATGTGACTCTTGTTCTGACCGGGATCTTCGGTCTTCCCCTGTATTCCAACCCCCAAAAGAGTCGGGGTAATCTTTCTGGTCTTTGATTTTCGTCTAACAAGTGACTTTTTCGTGACCTTTTTGTTCATCTTCTCCTGCAATTTAGCGTTCGAAGTTAAGAAAGACGCTTCGTCAACCTCCCAGGTTAGTAGGAGCTGCATCACGAGCAAAATCTGTAGCTGTGCTTCCCTCCTCTTCAAATCGAAAATAACTTTGCTTCTAGCTTCGTCTGACATGCTTAAAGTGAAATGTTTCTGAAGTAGTAAGTTTTGGTTTTCTGCTTCATACTTGTTGATCTCCATGGTTTCAGACTCTTTCCCTATCAATGCATCGAGTCCGTAGCGTAGTCTCTGTCTCTCGTTCAACCTCTCAGGGCTAAGATAAACTGCAGCTAGACTTTGTTCCATGAGCTCTTTCTTTCCATCACACATCACACGAAGCCGTGTTAGCGTGGATTTGGGAAAATAGGTCAAAGGGGTAGACAACGAATATAGGATGCTGAAGTATCGTGATTTGAGGAAGTTGATAGGGTCAGTCTCGCTTTGAGGTGATAATTGGGTAATGACAGCATTACGATCGCTCATAGGTGAAAGGTATGCGGGGGGAGGTCTCATTGAAAAGCTGGATAGGGTTTGGCCTGTGTTGACATTATCATTCGGAAGCATCTTCCAGTCTTCTAGAAACTCGGTCTGATCGCGACATGCTGATGGAATTGCTGATGTAGACGTGAGTGTCTGGCTCGTCTCAGGTCGTGAAAAGACGAAGAGCTCGTATGCGTGGGCGAAGGGGAGACATTTTTGTAGTAGCCCCGTGCGTGTAGTTTTGAATTGATCTATAGTTTGTACGATATATGCATTATTTGACTCACTGAGTTTACTCAATTGCTTGCTGAAGATGGTTCTGCGATGTAGGATATCGTCTTGAAGTAATGTGTGGATGCTTGGAGTTTCTATTGATCGTAGGATTGTGATGGTAAGCTGAGATTCACCCGTCAGCAGCTTCAATATGATGACATTATTAGCTTTGATGGGTTCTGGGTTATAACCACCATCATCCATCAGCAACAGGGTATGATTGATTCTTTATCCAGACAGTTTTGTAGAGCTCGCTACCTAGTAACGCGTAAAACTGCAGACAATACCAAGACAGACAGTTGCGCGCGTAAATGGCTCCGGCTTCATGGCTGCGAAATGCGATCAAATGTCTAGCCACTCATCTTCGATGATATCTGTGATAGTAGGTCTCTTATTGATATCTCTGACCAAGATCTTCTCTATGAGCGCAAGAGACTTCTCGCTCACCACATAGGGCACTCTCAAGTCACCCTCCATAATCTCGTCCACGTTATAAAACGGATTCTCCTTGTATATCATGGTGTAAAGCAATATGCCTAAAGCCCAAATGTCTTGAGGCTTGCCTTCATATTTCTCTCCTCTCAACACCTCGGGAGATGCATAGTCAATTGTCCCGACAAAAACATCGAATGGACCCAGCTTTACATACCCAGCGCTTCCAAAATCGATCAACTTGATGATGCCCCGTTCGTCCACAATGACGTTTTCATCCTTGATATCTCTGTGAACGATGCCGTTTTTGTGCAAATGGTAAATAGCATTCACAATTTGCGTGAAGATGTATTGGCACTCTATCTCACTCATATCTTTCTTGACCTCGATGTAGTCAAACAAATCGATAGCTGGAGGATCACCGAAAATTGGCGTTTCCAAATAGTAGTAGTTTGGATCCTCAAAATAGTCGATTATTCTCATGATGTTGGGATGAGGCTCATGGTTAAGTGTAGCCATCACCTGAATTTCTGAAGGAATTGTCCCTAGTTGTCGATCTCTGACCCAAGTGTCGACCAAGATTCTTTGCTTGTCAATGCACTTTATAATTATCCTGTAAGCAGGGTCTTCCTTGTGTTCTGCAAGAACGACTTTTCCATACGCACCTTCTCCCAATTTCTTGAGAACCTTGAATTCCTCGAACTTCTTGGTACGCCTTTTTGCACCCACAGAGGTAGGCCATTCTTTTGACCTCTTCATCTTTTGCTTCAAATCCTCATTCTCCAAATTTAAAAGCTCTTCCTCTGTAAATCGAGTATAGCGGGTCTCGTTTAAGTAATTAGTGTGAGTAGTTGGCTCTGACTCTGTATCCCCACTTTCGGCGGATTCCACGCTAGTACCAGAGTCTTGACTGGCGCGAGTTGAAGATGATCGGGAAGCAAACTGGCCTGGAACCTTCAAGGTATTCGAATCTGCATCATTCCCCATATACGTCACCGGAATTGAGAATGTGTTTGCTTTCTTTGGTCTCCTAGTACTGTTTGCACGGCTAATATGGGGACTCGTATGACCTAATTCCATAAGGTCATCCTCATTTTCTGGGAAAAGACGGAGTTGGGAAGGCAAGTCATTGCCCAGGACATCAGAATTGCTTCTTTGTCTGGGGCTGCTCGTCAAGGACCTTGAGGATGCGCTTCTTGTTAGTTTGTCAAGCTCACTTGCGATGTTCTTAGAGTGCCTTGAGTAAGTCACCCAGAGAACAAAGACATCTGACAGAATGACGCGAAGCTGGACATCAATAGAGAGAGGTTTGCCGTCTCTGTGAACACCAGATATTCCTTTGGACTTGAAAAACAACTCTTCCATTGAAATCTCCTGAGAATCGCGGTGCTTGAGGACCGCATCATACTTTCTGAAAAAGTGCTCCGGCAAAACCAATCCCGGCATTATTGATATATCATTCTGATCCTTCAAACCAGTCTCTAAAATTTTGGTGAAATCTGGAATGATCTCATCGATGCTATGATGAAGGATTTCCTCCGATGACTTTCCGAAGAGATTATTCGCAATAGCATTATTGCTTGAAAGAATTTCGTAATCTGAAAAGTTCACCACAAACATACCTGCGATGTATGGCATTGAGTGGAACTTGAGCTTTATCTCATACTTGTCGTCATTGAGTTCGAGTGGGTAGGAGGTAACAGCACAAGGAATGTTATCATCACGAACTTGAAGGGTGAAATACCGAATCTTGTTAATTGTCTCACTATCACGGAAGTCACATGCAGTGGTTTCTTTCGAATGACTTGAAGCCAGCGAGTTTAATTCGTGGTCCAAGGAGTTTGAAACTTGCTCAAGAGTCTTCAGGGAGTCCTTCCATTCAGACGTTAACAATTTTCCAGCAATCTCCTGAACAGATGCCACGGAATACTTATCCTGAGGGTACTTCTCAACATCACACTGCACCACTATATCGAACGCGTCACAGGGGATTTGCTCAAACATGCAAATAATAAAGTTTCCTCTTTTCTTTGCCCACATAGAAGTCCATGCGAATGTGTGATCAGCCTGTCTTGAGATGGCAATAATCTCACCAGCGAAGATGATCTGGCTCTTGGCTCCATTCCTGTCCAATGAATCAGACATCGACTTTGTCAAACGTTCTGTCACAAAATGTCTAAATTGCGGAGCAATAAGATCCATCAACGTAAGGTTTTTGATCATGTTTTTTGAAACACCAAACATCAAACATGCCAAGTCATTAGCAGCTTTTAAGTTCCACGGATTGACATCCTCGACGGTGAATACTGACTGCGGGGAGGAATGTTTTCCCAGGGATAATACGTGAAAAGGTCTGTTTCCAGTCGAGGGTGTGAGTGGCAGATTGAGTGAATTGAGGAGGGTGAGTGATGCAGTGGAGGCACTAACGGGAGGGTTAGCTGCAGCCGATTGTGGAATTGCCGAGTCAAGAAGTGATGATGTCAGTGAGGTTGACTCAACAAATGGAGTAGCCAAAGCCAATAGAAGCTTAGACTTCAAAATATTCTTCTTCGCCCGGTGGTCATGTTCTCCTGAAGATAGCGACAAATCGTGGAGAGTGGATGCAATTTCGGTGTTGTTGTCAAGCTCTGACGAGTCGTTTTCAAGAATCTGAATTATATCCTGTAAATCATCGCTAAGCATGGTGTCACCCGGTGAGGAAATGTCTCGAAGAAGTTTGGCCTCCTCTTGTTTCCACGATGATAAGTTGGTTGTAGAAACTTTGAGATCCTTGCGTGTCAGTCCCAGGGAGGGGAATCTAGACGCTGGTAAGCTGTCCGCCCTCACCATCTGAGGTCTAAAGAGCATAGAAAGGGCTGCAGAAGATGCGTTGGGGCGGATCTTGCATCGATCTGAACTCAAGTTGATGCTTTCACCACTGGCGTTACGGGAAGCATCATGGTACATCATCAGACGAGCCGATACACGACGGTGGCCATTATCACCTGGTTGAAGGTTCCATGAGGGCATACTGTCACCAGGCAAATCATCATCACTGTTGTTCAGGGAGTCGTAGTTTATGGAGCGAAACCAGTCGGGTCTCTCATTTAAAATCTCTAGCGATCTTTTCAAAACATTAAGTCGGAGCGCTAATGAGTTGGGCGACAAGTGGGCGTATGAATATGAATGGGAGTTCTCTATGGGAAACTGAAGAACACTGTTGATGTTGGAAAAGTCCGTCAGGTTGGATGTTGTTCTCGATAGCAGCAGCACATTAAGTCTAGAGGTGTTGATGGCAAACGGCTTATTCGGAGGTCCTCTGAGATTATCGCCATCTTCTTCAAAATGAAACAGCGGCTGTCCTCTGCCAGCTTGAGGCTGCATCATCAGACTTGGCTATTCGATGATTAGTGCGTGGAAATTAAAAAAGGGTCTTTGTTTTTTGGGCGTCCTATGAGGCGTCTATAAAACCCGAAGGTGTAGTTGTGTCTATAATGTAAGGTGGGAAGATGGTAGTATTGAGTGATAGCCTCCCCTCTACTGTTGAATTTTAAGATCTTGAGCAGGCATCCTCTGCAGGAGAGCGCTATTGATGGAGCCAAGAAGCCCTCCAAGTATGGCCACATAGAGTAAATCTGAAGTAATGATGCATTGTGCATGAGACCGTTGGTCCCTACATTTAAGCATTGTATTTTTAATTTACTCAGTTCGAGCTCGAAAAGTGTCGATCTTGCTAGATGGAACGGGTCTACGGAGCTGGTGCTCGTATCTGTCTAGTTTTATCCAGGACGCATGCTTCCGGGAGGCCAAGGCCTCAACCCGAGTGTATACATCAAAGGCGGAGCAACAACCATTTCTTTGAGCCAAGAGAAATTATGACGAAGATAAGACGTGTTTCTTTCCATACCGCTCTTGGTCAACGCCGCACCTAAAGACGGAACTCTTGCACGCGTTCATCTAAATCGCTCAATTCTGTGTTCATGATCTGGGAGTTTCCAAAACCTCCAACATTGGGGGTATCGCCAACGCCGTCCAAAATAGCAGGAGTCTGCCTGCCCATAACGGGTGTATTAGAGTAGCTCAGAAGGGGCGTATCAGAGGCCAGCTTCAGATACGTCGGTGGGCTCAACGCTCTCACATCTTCATACATTGGAGGCACTTCATCATCCCATGCAATCCCTAGGCCTGATCTCTCTGTAACATTCATCTTAAACTGCATTCTCAAAACTCTTGCGGCACCAGTAGGCACTCCCACGTGAGTTTCTCTGATATTGGTAGTGGAGTTGATCGAGGTGGATGAGTCTATCGGCATGAGACTATCGCCTTGAGCTTTCTGTCTGGCAATGTGGATGAGCTCCTCCGCCACAACCACTTCAACCACCAAGACATGATTGACAAACACTCCAAGCTCTGGATCGTCGATGTCACAAGATATGTTGGCACCATTACGGAGCCCTTCTTGATTTTCGTCTTGCTTAGGGTCTGATGAAGATGCTTGAACCACGTGGCGCTGTAGGCCAGTGGAGCAATCCATGGCAGAAATTTCTGCCACTAACTCTATACGACCCTCTCCCAGGAAGTCCGATTTCCAGCCGGACTTGATCTCGCCATGCGAGACTACCCGAAGCTCCTCGAGTGAGAGCTCCTCCTGCGGTTGTGAAAAGTCAGAACGTGATCTGTTGGTGGTCAGTGGGCGAAGATCATTGACTGTTGTTCTGTTTGTATTAGTGAATGGATGGCTGGGCAATGGGAATATTCTGTCTGATCGTGCAAATGTATCTGGTTGGTTATTGTCTGATGCTGTGGATGGAGTTTGCTCGCGACTAACTTCGCTGGATGGACGGAATTGGGAGAAATCCAGATCAAAATTAACCGCTTCATCAATTGGTCTGTTGGGAACGCCATCATCAATTTCTGGCTGCTCATCGATATCCTGGTTACCAGGGGCAGCGGCCTCAGCTATTGCGGCAGCATCGGCAGCTGTCATTACTCGACTGGATGGAACGTCGAGACGCATGGAAGTTTGTACTGTCAGATGATGAAGCCCGGTGGTCTTATTGTCCTGGTTCCCGGCTTTGAGCCTGCTAAGCTGTGCACGTTTCTGCAGCTCTTTTGTAAGGTTGAGTTTGGAGGTGTGTTTTGGGCAAACTGATGCTCTTATTTTGGTACATTCTTCCAATTCCCAGGTGAGCTTCCTCATTCGCCAGCGACGGTCCTGTTTGGAGCTCACCACATTGTTCAATCGTAGCTCTATAGGGAATGTAGACTTGGGGTAAATGACATTGGGCAAAACTGCGCTAGCGGTGACATCTGTTGGAGGAAACACTCTGAGGGAGTTACGGTCATGACCTCGAATAATTGATCTCAGTACGCTGAGTGGTAGCGAAGCCTTCACCTCCTTCAGGCCTGCAACAGCCACAGCTATGATGTCGTACTTTATGTATGACAGGGATTGGCTACCGCCGAGTTTTGTGGAAGCAGCAAGCAGGCCAGGAAGTAAATGTGAAAAAGGATAGGCATGCGAGCCCACAGCGAATGTGGCGGGCTCTATCACGACATCCCATCTGGCTAGCGTATTCCGCTTGATAGCGCACGATTTACACGAGGATACTGACCCGGACGGGATTTGGAATGGCTTTGTGTAGCGAATTGTCTGAACGAGCAGGAGCGTGACTGAAGAAAGCTCCACGTCTGAATCTGGGCCTATGCTTCCTACCGATGACACGGGAGTCAAGGAATCTGGGGTTCTTCGAGGACTCTCATCCTTGGACTTTGAGCGAGGTAAAACGTCAAGATGTAAAACTCCGGAAACAATCGATCCCGTTGATTCGTGGTGCTGGCCATAGAGTATGACCGGAGGAGACTCCAAAGCGATCGAAAGCTTGACCCGGGGTTTCTTGAGACTAGAGGCCAGCGCTTTGGGGGAAAGCTGGGGTCTGGACTTCTCAGAGTTGTGATTAAGCACTCTGGAAAGGAGCGTCATGGTGAAAATTGTGTTTCCACTTGGGAGAAAGAAGGTGTTCTAGTGTTTGAAGAAGCCGTTTTGAGGTGAGATGCTATGAGATGTAGGTCCTGCGATATGGGCTGAGACCTGCCTAGGGTCGGTCGACCGCCGCCCCACCTCCAAACCCCACCCACTGTGGAGAACCCAAGAAAGTTTAAGATAAAACAGGCTGCGGTAGACCGAAACTACAAAAAAAGAAATCTTTACAATTTAGACTCGAAAATGTGCAATTTGCTGAATGGATACTTCTTTGTGTGGTATGTCTCAGTCAATTATTCGCGAAGCGTGCTTTAGCCACACTTGGGTAGGCGTAAAGTGTAATACCGAAAGGGGTGAAAATCCTTCCATCACGTTTATTGACGTATTTTGAGTAAGTTTGTGAAAGGAGGGAGATGCTCAGGAAATGACCCCAAAGATCGAAGCAGCATTTTCTTCAAAATCTGAATTTTCACCTTCTCCACACCAGCCTATAGGTCCACCTCAATGCCACTTGACATTGACTCAATGTGTTGAATTAATTTTTGATTCTTCCAATTTTGGAAGCAAAAATCACTCCGACTAAGATGAAAGCTTTTTTTTTCAATATTGCAACTACTCATCTGCTTCTGCCTTGTCTATGTTGCAACCGTCCTGCAGTCGCATACATCTACTGAGAACTAGTACCGCTTCCAACTACAATGACAAAACAACACCTCGTCCTAGATAATGGCTCATACGATATAAAAGCGGGCTTCGCCACCCAAGAAAAACCTCTAGTCATACATAACGCTTTGGCCAAAGCTCGTGATGGTGTCATATACGTGGGAAACGACTATATTTCTCACACCAACCTCTACTCGGGTATCAACTTCAGAAGACCTCATGACCTGGGGCACTTGACGTCATGGGAGGTGGAAAAGACACTCTGGGACTATACGTTTGATCAACTATCGCCCAAGAAGGAATTGGATCTACTGAACATCCATCTCACGCTTACAGAATCAGCTTTCCAGCTTCCCCAGTTGTCCATGAACACAGATCTTATAGTGTTCGAGGAATACGGGTTTGGTGACTACTATAGATGTGTGCCACTGTCACTTGTTCCATGGGAAGGTACGGACAAACCTGCAGACTTTACATTGGTGGTGGACTGCGGTTTTAGCTCAACATGGGTTGTACCCATACTATATCAGGTTCCTTACTGGAGGGGTATTCGAAAACTTCCTATAGGTGGACGCCACCTCAATGGATTGCTTCGAGAGACGACATCTTTTAGGCATTACGATATCCTGGATGAGCCAATCCTTCTAAATACACTCAAGGAGAAGACGATGTTCGTCGCCGAAAACTTCGAGTCCGCTTTGAGAAAGAAACTTAATTACAAGTGTGAGTTCGTTCTCCCGGACTTCAAAACCACTTTCACAGGTTACGTCAAAGCGGAAGACCAAAACTTGCCTACAGATGCTCAAACCTTGAAGTTGTATGATGAACGATTCACTATTCCTGAAGCCTATTTCCACCCAGAGATCATGCTTGATAACAATTCAGTCTCTAATTCACCGATGATACAAAATGCCAATTTCAAGAGTCTCACTGATTTGGTGGTTGACTCCATTGCATCCTGTCCTGAGGCGACGAAACCTTTGCTTCTGGCAAATATTAATATTGTCGGTGGAAGCAGCTACATCCCAAACTTACCGGAGCGTCTAATATCAGAATTGAAGAAGGAATTACCTGTGAATTGGGAAGTGAGAAGCATACCACAAAATCAAAAGTTGAATGAAGTGGCTTGGTATGGTGGTACCTCGCTAGTGAAGGATGATCTCATGAAGGAGATTTCAATTTCGAAACAGGATTATTTCGAACATGGTGCCAATTGGTGCCAGAAGCAGTTCGGTTTCAAAAACTTCTCATGATCTGTATATCTAATGCAATGAACAATCTACTTCAACTGAATGAGATGGTTGTATGTCAAGTACCGGCTGAACACGAGCCACCCATATCTGAACCAGACCATTTGTGAGAAGTGGCCGTACGCCATAGCGGCATAAGATACACTGAGCATGTTCAAATCCGAGTAGAATCGTATCGTTGGAGGGCTTTCTTTGGAAACTTGGTTGAAGAAGCTTACATTGACATTGAGCTTGAGGATATTGCTGAGGAAGTGCTTCGAGATCAAATCCACAAAGAGCTCCACATTCGTGAGTAAAGTGAATGAATACTTTTCCCAGAAGTTCAAGCTCTTGAGCACGTATAATCTGCTTTTGGCAGACCTCCTTTTGAGGTAGTTTTCAAAGAAGCTGCGAACACCATGGTAAAGCGAAATATGGTTAGGATGCTTTGATACGCCTTGCTCATCAAAAGTTATCAAAATTGAGTTGTCCTTAATCAACGTGCTCAAGCTGGCGCCAATGTCGGCCTTCTCCCAGGTTATATCCATGCCATCCTGGTACTTGTCTAAAATGTGGACATCTGATTCCTGAACGCCAAGAATTCTAGCGGAATTGATGAGCTCGGTGGATCTGATCTTACCCATTGAAGGGTCAACAGCGTCACCTTTGGAGAAACAAACGATGTGTACACGGTTGTTGTGCTTACTCTTCAGTAACTCTAACAACGAAGGCGCAAAGAACATCACCTCATCGTCTGGGTGGCCAATTATATAGTAGACATCAGAATTCGTTATCTCGAGTGAGCTTGGTGAGACAATCGAGCTGTATGGGTATGACAGCTGTTGGAAACTGTTGGTCTGAATATCCTTATGGGTAAACTTTAGGGTAGCTTGAGGAACTATCGTTGAGAGAAGAACCCATATTAGAAAGGAGAATCCCACAACTCTGATTATGAATTTGGGAAGGTTGAACATAATATTGTTGGGATGAATTGATGTGTTGTTGGGAATGCCTTGGTTAAGAGGCTTGATTCTATCCGCAGGCCGCTTTTTGTGTTTGGGTACCGCGCAGTAGATTTGGGGTTCACTTAGGTACCCCAGTTATAGATCTTATTCTCGATAAATCAGATGCTTCGGTGTCTCTTCTATATCTATATTCATAAGTTATAAGTATGGCTTTCCGTAGCCAATGGTACTCCACCTGAGAATTACTTCTTCCTCATAAAGGTGTAACCAGTGTTCCAAGCGATATTAACCTTTGTCTTCTCCCTGTCCCAACCAAGTTCTTTCTCAAACTCTTCAAGAATCTTGCTTTCAAAATTCTCGAGGCTTCCCTCGCCATTGGCCTCGGCGTAGTTGTGAGCAGCGCCAAAAGTTGTCATGTACTTGACAAATGAAGTGACAGGGATCCCTTCCTTCTTGATCCCAAGATCGTCGCTGTCAAATTCTCTTGTTGTAGAGAGACTGCTCTTTTTGATCTTCACATCTTCAAATAAGTCCTTAGGTATAGCACTGTCGACCTCAACCAAAAGGTCTCTGAGGACGTTTCTGCCAGGCTGCTCCCAGTGTTTGCCAAACCAATTCAGATCTTCATACGTGTACTTATTGTAGATTTTGTCTGCAGCTTCACAGATTTCAGTCTCGCTTTTGGTCTTGTCACTGGGTCCCTCAAACCCGATAAAGACCGGGTCCACGTAATACCAGTACGCCAAAACGCCCTTGGGTTTGAGGTACTTGGATGCTGAGCTGAAGAATGTAGGCAAGTCTCTGAACCAATGGATACACTCGGCTGCCGTTATCAAGTCATACAGGCCAGCCTCTACTTCCAAGTCCTCCACCGCACTGACTGCAAATTCGATTCTGTTCATGTCGGTGATACCCAATTGCTCGAGTCGTTGTGCCTTCAAGTCATTGGCGGTCTTGATCATCGAAGGTGACAAGTCAATTCCGTAGACATAGTGGGAAAGATTGAGTAAAGGGAATGTAGCAACAGCCGTTCCGCATCCTAGGTCAAGCGTCTTTTCGACCTCTCTACTTCCGATATACTTCGACAAGATATCGTAAAAGGAGGAAGGATAGTGAGGGCGGAAGGAGTCGTAATTGAGGGAACGAAACCCAGATTTTGCAAAAGTTGACATATTCGGTGATTTGATTAAGTGGTACTTCGATGTGTCTTATATAATATTTAGGTGAACGCCGCGAAACCCCCACATTTCGGATTAGCATGCATCACCTCCGAACTAGCCCGAGCTATCACCGACTACCAGCCGAACGAAACAGCTCCACCATCCTCGTCAATTCGATCGCTCATTTGATCATCGTCTCTGTACTCATCGGGATTTTCATTAAGGAAGGGTACGAGACCAAGCGATCCGTCGGCTGCAAAATCGGTCGCCATAAGCTGGTTACTGTAGTTCATAGTGAATGGGTCGAAATGAAGAAGTTCCTCGAGACTTTCTTCGTTGGACGATCCATTCGAGTCATTGTTGGAGTTACTCATGTCGATTGTAGGACTTTGTGTTGGAATGTCCAAGCTTGGCAGATCCATGCTCTCGCTCTTCACAAACGTAGAAGCCTGTCTGGGTTTGGAATATGCTTGGTCCTCCATTCCATTGACATATAAAGCGTCTCTCATTACCGCTTGTTTGCTAATAGGCCTGTCCAGCATGACCCGTTTTCTTAGGTTGTTAGAGTTCTTCAAAGGTGAGATGCCCAAGATGCTCATGATTGAGAGCTCAAGAAGTCTCGTGGAATTAGGTGTAAGACCGCCAGGTATCTGCATCTCTGTCTCTTGATTAAATTCTGACAATGTCAGAATAAGAAGGCTTTTCAGCGACTGATGAAGAGGACCTCCCTTGATGAAATCAAGTGAGCCCTTGGCAACAAGCAAAGCAAAACGGGCCTTTTCTCTTGGAAGATTGATCGGAATTGGGATCGAATAAGCTGAGTTAGATGCCATTATTTTCATCACTTCCAAAATCTGTATCGAAGATTGTTGTATCATTGTCATACTTGAAATGACACTTGCAACATCCCTTTGCTTCAGGTCAACTCTCTCCTTCATGGACAAACCAACATTATGGTGGTAGCCATATTTGGAAATAATAGG